GGAGGACTGTGTGTTTTGTCCCCATCAGTTCATCTAGAAGCACTTTATGAAAGTGTTCTCTTGCTGTCTCGTATGATTGGCAAGCCAAATCCTTTTGCAGACTACATTAAGAATTAGAAGACTAAATTGTATAAGGGTCAGAATATTCCTTTTAAATTCAAACACGTTCTTGCATTTGATCGTCTTCAATAACTGCACCTTGTGAATACAAAAGCAACACTTCTGCCGTGGTTGGAGACGGTTCCAGCTGTGTGCTACGCCTCTTTTAATGTTGCAGCTCTCAGCTCCCTCTTGAAGCCTCCTCCCTCTTTGCTCCTTCTCTCCTCGAGGCACATACAAGCGATTGAAATACCCTCTGTGATGGCGAAGGGGGGAATGATCTCCGTGTCAAACGAGGGGAGAGGACGGTAGGAAGTCTCAGTCAGCACATCGGGAAAACACCCACAGTTTCACGGACATTCTGTCTCTTCTTTCCCCCCCCCCATTCACCACCCGCTGGTATAAAACTGAAAAGTCTGCTGTGCCAGCAGAGACAAACTAACACAACTGTAAATGTAGTGCCTCATTGGATGCATGACCCACTGTGTGTGTGCATGTTTGATGCACGGCCTGTCCCACACAACGTCCTCGCTGCATCACTAACTGTTCATTTCCACTGGGCAATCGGAAGTCATGCTATTGAATATGAAATGAAACCTCCCGCGTATGTATTCCCAACGCATTTTTGTCATCTTTTCCTCGTGGCATTGGCAATGCTTCCTCCATTTCTTGGTCTACATGCCACATATGTCTGGCAGGGCGGGGGCTTCGTATACCGCGAAGGTTGCGTCTCCTGGCGATGCCTTTCATTGTCCTTCAGCGGCTCCCGTGACACTAATCCAGATGCATCAGTTTTGACCGCATTCCTCCATTGCAAAATGAATCAATCCATCCTGGAATTTCATCAGGAAATCTCTTCTGCTCTTCAACATCTCTTTCCCCGCCTCCTCCAACGCCATTTACCCCTTTCCTCTCTCTCCATATCCCAAATTGTGAGACAGGCCATTTATCAACAGACTCATCGGACATTTAAAAATTCCTGTAAGGATGTATTGCTTACATTTGACAAGACGTACATGAGTACAGTGTACTCGCAATGTCTGTGTATGTCATGTAGTAAATGTCAATCCCAGCTACATGATAGATTGCTCTTATAGTCATGTGTAACATATACGTTAAAAACAAAGGATACACTCTCCTTTAGGAAACTTTCCTTACACAGAAAATTCAATTAAAATCTTCATTTTGCTTGGCGCAGGAGTTTTTGTACACAGAAACGCTCACATCTCCGGAAAATATGCTGATATTCGTGTTGTTTTTGTTCCTCCACTCAGTCGTCCCCCTATTTGTCATGTGAAGCACACACCAGCTTTTCTGCATGTTTACCAATGACGAATGGAGGTCTGCGCTCTTCAGGGGCAGAGAGAGGAATCCGGTGCACTCGGGCTGAGGGCCTACAGGGTCCAGCAGCTTTAAGCTCGGGGGCCACCGGCAAAGGAGAGCTGTGATAAGTCTGGGCTGAAGAATGCATACGTTCACATGGGACGAGCCAGAGCGAGAGCTTTGGCTGCATTGTTTTCTCTGGCCTGCTGTTGCATAACAACACACATTCCCAGCGCACACTTCCTGAAATGGATTTAGGCATCGAAGACATTTCTAGTCTCAAGTCTTGGTGGGAAGAAGACATTTCCCATCGTGTAGTGCACCAGAAAGGTTGAGAAATGGAAATGGGTTTTGGTAAAATCATTACACAAAATAGTAATGACGGAAGAACAGTAATAATTGACCTCATAATACTTTACAGTAGTTATAGTAGCTACAAATCCTTTGAATATCAGAGCTTTAAAATGAATGCGTGACTTTGTTGGTTATGAAACTAGGTGTTTCAAATGGATACAGCTGTCTTTTAAAGTTCAAAAGAAACTTTCCCATACTACAGTCGGCAATAAATGCCATTAGGAGTGAATAATGAAGATGAAATAGCAACATTTTCACATAGTATGTATGTGGTTTCAAATGTGGTTTCACGAATTCTCCATCTTATTAGTTTTTCTCCTGGCTGCCTGCTTGCTTGTCAATTAACTCTTCTGTTATTCCGGATCCTGTCATCAACAAGAGATCATCTCTTATTCTCTTCACCTGGTCCTCCTGCCCTTCCCACCTGCAGCCCATTCCCTCATTAGTCCCTCACTATTTAGGTCCCCACACTTGCACTTGCCCTCTGCCAGATTGTCTGGTGTAATACTGCCAAGCATTCCAGCGTATCGTGAGGTGGTTCCTGATCTGCCTGTCCCGACCCAGTTTGTCTGAATACTCGACCAAGGATTTTTGCCTGCCCCCTTCTTGGATTTTTTGCTTTTATACAAGTAAAGAACTTTGATTGGATTTCTGTTTGCGAGTTGTGCTTTTGGGTTCAAGTTACACATATAAATCACTCCCAAAATCTGATTTTTTTAAACTTTAACACCACCGTGAGTTTGCTTTTCAAACTTGTGGAACAAATACTATAGATGGGGTGTTTAGCTGTGATGAAGCTGAGTATCAAATTAAAAGCTTTTACCATTCAGTTATTTCATAACTATGATCTGCAAAGGATAAAATAATGTATACTGACACCATATAGCTACGTACTTTTGCAATCCCACTTACTCTGTATCCTTGTACAGTTTTAAGCAGTAAGGCACAGTTGGTTGCTGGTCCTCTTATTTGTGCCAATTTCCTTCAAAGAGTTTCTTCCACAAGTTGTACAACCTTTTAATCATTTGTTTATGCGCTTGTGAGAGGTAGAACAAATATCAAAGTAGGACTTCAGCAATTTCATAGTGTGGCTGTTGTCAGAAAACCTACTCAACAAGGGGTCTCTGTTATTTGCACGCAAGATCCATGTGGGCAGCTTCATGAATCCAACCTAAACTTTTCTCTGGAGATAAAGGTTTCCTCTGCGCCTCCCTCTTTCACTGATTGTATACATTTTGTATATTTTCTTATTTATTATATTAAAATAGATTAGTTTAACATTATGTCTGGGCAAATTATCTGTATCCATGCCACAGTAACATCAGTTAAGAATATTTGCCCCATAATGATGAATATTGCTGGTGGGAAAAGGGTTCTCAGCAGCAGTTCTAATTCACATCTGTCTTGTCTGCCACAAATGAGACAGCAGCATCATTTGTGAGATAAATCACTGGAAATGATATTTATCTTAAATGAGGTGTACAAACACTCAAGGACAGAAGCATATAAAAACCGCCTACATGTTTCCCTTGCACTTGTCCTCAGCTCCATTTATTTGGTAACTCATGAGAATAATTGCTCCATTTCTTTTAATGATGTTCAGTTTGTTTTAGAGCATTGCTGTGATCACCTTCATACTTGGCATTGAAAACCATCAGCCTTTAAACAACCAGTATGTCCTTGGACAGCTTTTCTTCCAAATTGATCCGTGGTGCAGGGATTGTACACAAGAGTCTGTTTTGAATCTGCTCCCACTCAGGCCCTAAACGGCTGTTTGTGCAATCACCAGATTTCTTCCCACAATTATAACTTTAAAGTTAAATTTTACCTCCAACTGACTTCACCAGCTGCATTCATTTGAAAAATACCAAAAAGTGGCCAACGGACGTCGGGATTAATGCACGGCATCTTCTACATGACAAAAAAACATTGATTCAGACCACAAAGAACAAAAGAACTACAACCCACAGTGCCGCCGCTTCACTCCTCCCAGATGCAGCTCTGGCAGCAGAGCGCAGAGGAACCCGTGGTGCCTCTGGCCACCACGCCGTTCAACTCATTTTCTTCTAGCATGAAATCGTAGTGGAATTAGCAGCAAACAATGACACAGGGAGCCTATTTGCTAATTGCTGTTTTTCTAATGTGCTCATAGTCCAGTCAACACAAATCACAGAGGAAGATTGTGCCGTGCTAAGATGGGAATGCTCTGGATAGCGGGAAAGTGAAAACGACAATATTGAAATGTGTCATCTCAAGAGAGTTGTATCATTTGGTTTATAGGTTTAAAAAAATGCATGATGTGTACAAACACTTTCTGTTTGAACTTCTCGACACATGTTTTTTTTTTTGACATCTCTATTGAACATTAAGCCATGTTTGGTAGAGAGGTCCCCAAGCAGGCAGACAGGGGGCAGGTGGGGTGTTAGTTGCTACGCACGGCAAAAAGTGTCAAGAGGAACAAGCGCATGTGATGGGGTAATTTGGGTCATTTTTCAAATTAAAATATTTTTCTGAAAGAAAAGTCAAATGACCTCAGTGGCCTGCAGACACGCTGGCCCGGTGGTTGGGGACCCCTGATCAAACCCTATGCAAGGCATATATAGATATTATACAAATAATTGTCAGAGGGTGTAGGCAATATTTCCTTCCTTCCAAAATAATCACGTGTTTGGAAGAAGCAGGGTTCAGCTCGGACCCCCAACTCTACTTCTGAAGGGCTATGCGAACAAAACAAGGTATTTTCTATTTGCTGGGATTAAAGACATTAGAATTAAAGCAGTGGAACATCTTTTTGCTCAGTTTATTCCACCAGCCGTCGACATGGCTGCGGGGTGTTCTTTCCTAATCAAGATGTACTATTCTCGGCACCCTGCTTCTTTTTGCCAGCGAGTTGATTAGCTGATCTCCAACTGCAGGGTTACGTCCAGTTTTGCGGTACTTTGACACGGAAACACCAGTTGTCTAACACAGGGGACCTTCTTTGTGCTTCCAGCTGATAAACGCTTAACTCAGAGGTGCTGCTATTGTTTCATTATTGGGCCACATGAGCAGAATATTGTGGCAGAGTGGCTCCGCTCACTTCAATCTCCATGTTTTGGGGTGTTCTAAATCAGCTGAATTTCCATCTAGGCTCCAACCCTCCCACTGTGTGTTACCAAGCTGTGACTAATTATCCTTTCAGGTTGATCACAGGGTGGGGCTGCTGAGGCTACATGGAGGAACAGCCCATCCACTTCAGGTGTGTCTCCCTACCTCTTATATTAAGGCATCGGTAGCTGATGCGCTCTGTGTTTGCTATAGTCAGCCACTTGTCTGGCTGGAGGTTGCGGCCCGAGGGAGCGTGGCGTCCGCTTTGTGCGCGTGGCGTCCAATGTGCTGCACGGGAGCATCTTTTGTGTCTCCCCCTTCCGCGTCATCGACGGCGCCTGCCTGTCTGCCGACTGAGGTTGGAGGTGGAAGCGGGGCCTTCAAGCCGGTACAGATCCCCTTAGGCGTAGCATCCAATTCCTACGGTAGGCTGTCTCATCTGTACTGCTTAGATGCACATGGGCCTCGTCCAGCTGTTTCATAGATGCCTCTTACTTTTGATTTGCAGCTAAAGCGGCGTCGTCGTGGTGCACCACCCTGGCGCAGGAGCACTGAAGCTTCTACGTCCCGCCAGTGGCTCACCTGCTGAAGCGGGCCTCTAAACAGTGCGGGACCCCGCCACTGCTGTTCTGTCTAGACTGTTTTTCAGTTTTGTGATTTAATAATTTTCTTTTTGTGTGTGTGGGCATCCTGGCCGGTATTACATTGCTAATGGTTGTTATTTCTTGTTTTGATGTACAGGAGCTGTTGGTGCCACGGGTAGGAGTGACTGGCTGATCCCGGTGGTGGTTCCCTTCATTTTTTTCTTTGCAGTGCACCTCTGTCAATAGTTTGTGGTTTGTTTTGTTTTTCACGTGTGTTGGAACATTAGGCCCCTTCCCCTCAGCAAGTCAACTCCGCCAGTTTTTGTTCTGTTATTTGTTTATGGAATCACGTCCAGTGCCTGTGTCCTGTCATTGACCTCAGACTGGTGGTCCCTATTTAATTCCTGGGGTGAAATTTCCTAGGTGGCGGCGTTGGCTTTTAATAGTAAAATTTCAGATCTTCCCCCTCAGCATTGCCACAATATAATTAGAAATCTGATTGCAAATTAAGACATGCAATGCCACCTTTGCCCGAAAACCTACCCACGCACTACAATAATAATGGAGCTGGAAGTTTGTTCTTTTGTCCACCTGTTTGTGCGATGTGAAGGCACAGTCCCCCTCAATAAAAAAAAAAATGCTTTACCTTCTACAGTCTATCACTAAATCCTCAAATCTGCCTGTTGAAAAACAAATAGTGAACGAAAATCACCAAAAGACCATTTGCCTCCTTTGTTCTCTTCCCACGTTGGTTGGGAAATAAAATCAATTGGCTGAATTAGAACTGTGCGTGTGCATTTGGGTCCACCGACTACACCACCACCACCTAACACAATTTGTGCACACTGCATTGTTAAATATGTTAAGGCATTATTGTGAGTGATGCGTATCCTGGAATATATATTGTATAGAGATTATAAAGTTGTCCCTCCTATTCATACAGATAAACCAAATAAAAGTTATATCTCTTACCCTCTGCCCGTATTCAGTCACTTTTCCTTTGGTTTTCTCTTTATTCTCTTTCCCTTAACACCGTATCATTGAATCAACTGGATGACTCTGATGCTTGCAACCAGAGGAACGGCTGACTGAGTTTACGGAGTGGCAAGAAGGGTTTAAAGGTTAAACAAATATGGGACAGTAATTCACCTCTACTACTGGGTCCATATAATGGAGTTGTCTGCTATGAAAGAATAAGAAATAAGCCATTTCACAGCAAGCCAAGACCAAAGTCTAAAAGCCGGGAATATAACTTTGGTGGAAATTAGTGGATAACGTCCTTGAGAGAAATTAAACATATCGTCAACTTTCTTGTATTTATTACAAACTAACATATAGGAAAATCACGAAGGGCACAAACATCATTGAACACAAGCCGTAAGTACAGACAAGAATTTATGACAATTCTGCTGAAAAGGGACCGTGCACACTCACTATCGCCTCTTGAGTTACTAGTGGTGTTACAAGACCTGATGGGTGGGTGCTAGCTGGTTAGCATTGTTATTTCAGTAGACATCTAAGCAAGAAAGAACACTGACGTCTTACAGCTCTGCTGATGTTAGCTCCTTTTACAACAACATATTTGATCCAGGAGATACATTCAAACTTCAGTCCGGCGTCCATTTTAATCATGTTGAACTTGACTACTAACTAGCCCATCAGTTTTGATTATTAAGCAAAAATGTATCCAAAATGGTACAGAGGTATCTGTAGAGTGCAATGCTGAAACTGATTGTTTTGTTCAGTCTTTTTTTCCTTATCCTTCAGCACAAGATCTATTAGGTTTTGATAGATGGTACCTTTTTAAGATTTCCGGATTAATTGATGATCAAATCTCCCAAGGGCTTTGCAGGACACGTTCTGAGCAGGTAATCACTTCTTTTCAGACAGCCCAAGGTACACCCAGGCGATAAGGATGGGTTCCAGCTTTTAAACTTCAATATAAGGCAAAATGAAGACATTCACGCTGTCAAGCTGCTCCATTACAATCCTTCACTCTGCCGACCTTAACCCGCTCTTAATTATCACTCCGGTTCTCTTCTGTGGACCACACAAGGATCCTTGGGTTGTTCTAGAAAACAGTGTTTTGCTACGGTGAGTGCTCACGCAGTCCATGGAGGGCTCATCAATCCATGTTGAAACAAGACTTGGAGTCAATCCAGGTCCTGCAAAGTGTAATTGTGAATGACGCGAGGACACACTCACTCTAAAAGACACCAGATATTAGTCACGTTTACTACACTTGTGTTTATGATTCCATTTCCCTGGCCTAAAGCAGACAACATGCCCCGTTTGACGAGAAAATATTAGTAATTCCACTTTGATGACGTTGAAAGCGTTTCAGTTATCTGAAATCAATGAATAATGGGTAAAAGTTTTATTATAAGCTGTTTGAATTCTTCAAATAGTAATTATTATCTTCAGTTCTTTATCTCCTTCATCATTGAACACCCTGGGCCTTCCTTCAAGAAAGGGGAGAAGATATATCTGCAGCATCATACCTTCCGGCGGCAACAAGAAGTTTTCTTGGGTCAACCTTTGTTCCAACTCACAAAATTAGGTTTCCCTTTTTGTCTAATCCATTAGCATGTCAGTGAACTTTCAACGTATGAACCGTTTCTGGCAACTTGACTGGGGAGGAAATACTTTCTCACATAATGGATTGTATCTTCAGAAGTGGCCTGAACAAATGGATGACAGGGACATTGTACAGATCAACTTGTGTCGTTGTGCACATTGAGATCGCTGTTAGGGTAAAACCCACGCAGCTCATTATTTCCAGTCAGCCCCACCCGGCTACCAGTAAGGGTCACAGTGCCGGCCCATGCTGCCATAGCAGACATTTGCCTTTTTTTAATTTGCCTCTGCACATGTGCTGACAAAACTGAGATCCCAAATAGAACATGTTCTGACGTGTATGCATCTGGACCTCGATCAAAATACGCATCATCATGGGACATTTACTAGGTATTGTTGTCCTGCAGTAAAACATATGATAACTTACTAAAACCTTTAACAAATCATGGATCTGCATCAACCCAGCCCTTCACCTGATCTGTCTTTGGCCCATAGCCCTATTTTCCACAACACTCCATTAAAATCTGTTGAGTAGTGTATATAACTAAACTAAAACAAACAGGGAAAACCTCTCTGTATAGGTAATTACGCAAAACAACCAACACAAGAGGCATAATTCTTTTCACAAGCTCTCATCACAGTAACTCTTTACCTAACCACATTTGTAACATTATTAACCAAATCCTTGCACTGTTTTCCCTTTTCCTTGTCTTTATTTCTCCACTACTCTTGCTTCTTTTTTTTCACATTGGAGACGATTAAAGTGAGGCAGGTCTTCATCTAACAAATAACGTCCCAACTCAAAAGAAAGAACACATGGCATTCTAATCACTACAAGGGCGTCCTCACGGTTTCACCAGTTCTGCGATCCAGACCTAATGTACCTGACAGAGAAGGCATACCAGACCTGAAATTACAGGGATTAATGTTACCAAGACTAAACACTTCAAATGGGTTCTCTAATGTGAGTGCCATGCAAGGGAGCAGGCAGAAAATCCACTTACGGCATCATTGCTTTGGCATTATTCACTCTTGAAAGCGCAGCACGTTTCAGCCTCGTCCATGAATGGCTGCTCCTTGCCATGCAAACTTTAATTTGGAGAGTTTAGCTACACAATAATTGTCAGAATAGGGGGCACTTCGAGAGGAGGTCCAAAGGATGAGTCTTTCCTAAGAGAAAGTGTGAACTGGTTTCAATGATCTGCCTGCAGTGCTTCTTCGTTATACCTGCAATCTTAACGCTTTTCGGTGAAATATATGTGTCATCCACGTGAATAGTTTTTTTTTTTTGCAGCAGTAGACTAATGAATACAGTAAAACAGAATACATACATATTGTGGTCTGTTTGTGACTCTGGGAGTAAGTAGTACACATTGTGGTGATTGGCCATTATCAGCATTGTGATGCGTATGAACAGTATGTTACGGAAAACTTAGGATTTAGATGAAAACCAGTTTTATGCGATTCCTTTCAAATTCCATTTTACTATTGTGTTATTTACAGAGTATTTGAGAAGCTGTTCCTGTTAAATAACAACATTTATCAACCCTCAGGTTAATGTAACACTGGTCATAAACTAAAGCTTACATGATAAGATAATTATTGTGAAAATTGGATCATCCCCATATTAGATTTACAGAGTATTCGTTCTGAAATTAACATGAGTATTTAGATTGAACAGTCTGGACACAACTCCAGACCTGGTACCCTGGAGAGGAGGTGTGGAAAGTTTAGAATGAACACGGAGGTAAACGCATGATTCAATCACTTTCATCCAGGTGGAAATAGAGGCTGTTGATCAGTGTTAGAGGAACAAAGGTCAGGATGGAAGGCAGCTGTTTACATCCATCTGGTGTGTTGGAGTAGGTCAGGGTACCATCTCTAATGAAGAATAGGTGTCGGTCTAACCCATCTCCCACACAAGTCTGTGCTGATCCGAATGGTTCCACTTCTCTCCTCTGTCCTGTCATTCGGTTTACATCCCCCCCCCCCTCCGTGTTTACACTCCAGCATCTTCCTGTTCAGCCTCCTTTAGTGTCCATGTTACCATTCCGGAAGGCTTGTTTCTTTTGAAGACTTTCGGACACATTTTTAAAGGTCTAAATTATTCCGGTTTCACCTTCTGTGACTGTTAAAACTGAGAATGACAAAGTTTTTTGATTGTGTTTGGAATCAAAAGGAAAACAGGTAGAGATTAGACGGATGCGTCTTGCCAACAGTAAATGTCGTGTTCTTCTTGCATTTGTTCACTAAGGACGGACCTGGCTCGCAGCACAATGACATCAAACCTGTTGTTAAAGCATGCAATTGCACATTTGATGTGATGCACATTTAGTTACTGTAATATTAATTAATAGACATTTAAATTGAAGCGGACAATGGCCTCGTCTAATATTGTCGTAATGAGAAGAGCGAGTCCAAAGAGGGTTTGCTAAGATACTAAAATGTCTGACAAATGATGTTTCACAAAAAGGATCCTGTACATGTTTCTGGCCACAATCTCTGCTTGAAGATTCACAACTGCATTCTCTCAGCACTAACATCAATTTATCAACAATACAACTTGAAGGAATAGTTTTAATAGCTTGGAAAATGAATTGCCTCAGAGGGTTTTAAATTTTGTATACCTACAACCTCCTCAGTCTTTCACCCTGCCAGGCTAGCATAAAAAAATTGTACAACAATATTCCTTCATACATGACATCTTTTGCAATTATTTCCAATGGATCCTTCCTTCCCTGTTTCTTTAAGGTCTCCCCTTGCGCCCCCACCACCTCAAGCTATTCTGCAGGGGATCTTGGCTCAGCTTGGGATGAACAGTTAGGGCCGTCCAGACGTTATCTGCATTCCAGTCACTCAAAGGGCCTCTGATTGAAACATCTCATTGCGTAATCCAGGCAGCTCTTCCCACTCAGGCTCATCAAACTCCAATAGAATTTTATTCGTGTCCATAACTTGCAGTTCAAAAATGCATCTGGATCTCTCTATCCAACAATACCTGAGGACATGTTGGCAACGAACAGCACACGCGGTCCCCCGACTGCATGGAGACGTAGAGTGGGGCAGGATAAGGCGACACGTGGAGGCTGTCTCCAGGTTTCAGAACACTCCCGAAACGACACGATCCAGACCCAGGCCTCATATCCATCAGCCACAAGCACGACTCTAGCAAGTGGTAGCCCAAACCGTCACAACAACAGCAACAACAACAACCACCACATCTGGCTCAATATATTCAACATGCAGGAGCACATCAGTGATTTCTGGCGCAGCTTCCCACACAAACCTCCAAAGTAGTATGGCAGGCAAACTCATAACAATCAAGGACTAATCTAAATGATCTCCCATT